CGGATGCTCTTGCGTAAAACGCGTGCAGAGTAGCTTGCACGTCATCTTCTTAGGCCCACCGCGCTGGTCCCCAGACCGACATGTGAGGGTGACCCGAAACACTTAGAGGGCCAGGGCTTGGGCGAGATCCGCCTCCCTGGCCCCCGCTCGACGGCGGCGGGATTGTGCGTCTCTCACGCGCTCCGCCGCCTCCTTCGAGCATCGCCTTCCACGACTCGTCGTCGCCGAGCATTGGACGGTCCTACGACCAGCCGAAGGATCAGCCAGCCGTCTGGACCATGACTCCAGCACGGTCCGCCGAGATTGAGCCCTCCGCGCTCTAACCGCACTGGGGCTGGGACGCACCACGCCCCGGGCGCGAACGTCAGCCCGCCACTGATAGTCAGCGGCGAATGCCTCCGCCTCCAGAACCCAAGGCGGCGTCCCACCCAGTACACACGCCGCCTCAAAGGAGATGGTGCGATAACCACGGATGACCCTGACCGCGATGGCGCGTTGCGGCCGTTGCAGCAGCTTCGCCACCCCCGCGGCCAGGGACTGGACCTACACAGGCGACCCGTACAGGGCCATTGATCGCACCACCCCCGTATAGAGACGGCCCGTCACCTGGTCAGGCCCCCGAAGTTGGGCAGAAGCCGGCTTAACGCGCCGGCCACCCCCAACAATCGAGGGACCAGGTTCTGAAAGTGAGCACGGAAGGTCCAACGACTGTCCAGAATGAGGCCGAGGTACTTCAACTGCACCCCGACCCCGATACGGACGCCTCCAACCACGATATGGGCATCGACAAGTGGTACTCTCCGTGGCCTGTGGAACCACATGGCCTCGGATTTACTGAGCGCCACGTCGAGGCCCAATCTCCTGATTTTGCCGACGACATGCGTCACCTCAGCGGTAGCAATAATTTAGACACAGTTTTCAACGCGCTGTGTTTTAGTCAGTCCGTTCTCGTATTAAGCATATTATTAATAATAATTTGATTCAACAAGCAAGTTAGTACTAATTACCGTACAGCTCATAGAAAGCCGAGTGAAGTTGTGGATAATTTAAATTGTTTTACATGGGAAGACCATTTTACGCTACACCTAGTAACTAGGTGGTCTACAAGGTCTACGAACTAGAAGGCTCATTGTGTTGGATAATGGATGTCCCTTGTAAGCGGAACCCTTGACCATTTGGGGGTAGAAATAGAATAGTTGTTGGTACCTATCAGAGCGGGTGACTATACGACCTACCAGTAATTACATAAACTTATTCCTTTATTGTGGAAGTCGGGAGTTGTTGAGCAATAGGCGTCTTCAGTAGGTTTAGCGGGTATCCGGCGATTTATTCCTGATTCAAAAAGGGCACGCTGAAAAAGCATTTTACTTGAACCGTATGTTTATAAGCGACCGTCATCGTATCATAGCGAAACAAATGCGACGATTCATTGCTCAGTCATAGAGTCGGATGACGATTCATGAAGTGACGTTGACGTTAGATTACGTCCAGACGTAGCGGTTTTTTTAATACTCCAGTTATATGTACGTAGGTACTCTAGTTTCAAACTTCTTCATTATTTGTCATAGCCGTGCGACTCTTTAATTCGAAACGCATAAATATTATTCAGCTTAAATCAGTGGAGAATTGAGGAATACGATCAAATATTCCGTTAATTTTTGGTAAATTCCATTTGACTCTATACAGAAGAGGGCCATTCGGATTGTCGATAGTTCCATTGTCACGGATCGGTTGGAACTTTTGACTTCGCTTCTCTCTGTATTTTATATTCTCGTTATCTTCCATGGGGAGTGCTCTAAAAAATTGTTTGAGATTATTCCATCATTTTGTTTTTACCATCGCACTAACCGCCACCGGAGTAGATAGAGCTAATCCATACTACCTGGAGCCACTGCGTTCATTCACAGTGCGTTTCCAGAGATCTTCTTTTCCACGTACCATTCGCCTTTGGAAGGAGCTCCCCTCCACGGTGTTTCCCGAGCGCTATGACAAGTCCTTCTTCAACCGAGGCTTGCGGAGAGTACTTAACGGTTGGCAGCGGCTTGGTTCTGCCCCTGGCATTGCTGAAGTCCATGGGCGACGGTAACGACTTACAATCAGTTGGGCCGTATATTCGTCCGTCTACAATGGCAATAAAAAATAATTATTGTAATATGATAATGTTATAATGAATATTATATGATGATATGAAAAGGCAGCGGCTTGACTCTGCCCCTGGCATTGCTGAAGTCCATGGGCGACGGTAACCACTCACCATCAGGTGGGCCGTGTGCTCGTCTGCCTACAGAGGTAATAAATAAATAAAAACAAATTGTCAAAATTTGTTACTTTCTTGACGGGGAAAAAAACTGCAATGACAAGCAGTAGTGGTATCTATCTCAGTGTAAGCGTCAAACCGCACAAAGCTACGACGTTAATTTCCGAAGGGCCTTTTTCAGGACAAAACCCGACACGTGCTGAATGATTCACAAATTTCAATTCACTATAGAGTCAAAGAAACAGACAGAAATTTTCTTATTTATTTATAGTCCGAGAAGACTGCTAATTAATTTTAGTGTTTTATTTATTTCTGACATTATTAACAGCATTTTAATTTGTGAAGAGTTTCTTATTTGATTACATTACATCACACCATTTAAATATAAAAATGACACAATTTCTTAAAAAGATGTTTGCAATGTTATGCAATAGAAAATTTTATTAAGCTGGGAATTACAAAACCAGTAAAAGTTGGAATGTCGATGCTTTAACGCGGCATAGGACATTGAATATTATTGGGTGAATCATCAATGTTACGAATCTTATACCTGTATGATGATGAAGCATATAAAGGTCATTGCGTCCGACACCATAGCATCATTCGTCAGATAAATCGCCAGTAGCACACACGTTTCCACTTACAAAATAATTATATTTCGTTTTTATCTTCCGTCAAATATGTCTTCGTCTAGCGCGTGTGTTATACTTTCATGTATCTTGTGCGTCATCGCAAAAAGCAGTGTCATTAGAACCAAGGAGGTTCCGTTACCGTCTAAAGAACCGCCTATCGGGAGTTCAGTCGGCACTAAGTCACCCAATTACCCGATCTTAGCGGTGGAAATTGACGCGGATAAGCTGTGCAGGAAAGTGATGGAGGCTAGCGTTCAGGACAGCGAGAAAGAACGCCAGACGCGACAACCTGATCTGAGCCGTGAAGTTTCATCGCCGACGGAGATATACGAGCTGGAGGATCGGAACGGGTTTCCACAAGGCAATTGTCCAGATGGCTACCAGTGGAGTGACACGATGGGCATGTGTGTGCCTATAGAGGACGAATATTAGCATTCGTTTGATTTCATCATAGCTCAATTGAAACCGTAAATTGTGTGCCAAAGCAGTATTATTGTGAAGTGATTTTTATTTTATTTAATTGTAAATATAGTTTTTAAGGTGATTATTTTAGTTAATTTATTTTTCATATGAGCGTCACAAGGCGACAAATTATTAGTGAGAAGTAATTAAATTACCGAAACCTTAGTTTAAATGTTATTATGAAACTTAAAAGCATAAGTGCTTAAATCGAAACAATTTAATAAAAATAAAAAATAAATTTCATCAGAAAATTTTATTACTGTTATTAAACTACCGATTATACTAACACCAATACATCAAATTCATATTGGGGTATCTTAATTATGGAGCGCGACCTCAAAAATATCGGCGTCAAGAACTGGAAGGAGAAAGCCCTGAACAGAGCAGTCTGGAGAGACATACTGGACCAGGCTAAGGCCCACCCTGGGCTGTAAGGCCTAAGATGATGATGATATCTTATTTATCAGATCATAGCTTAGTTTATTTTGGGTGCTTCCTGGGCAGACGTGCTTGCCCCCCATCTGATAATGTATTTGCGTGAGTGTTAGTTAGAACCCTCAGACACAGCCCACTGAGTTTCTCGCCGGATCTTCTCAGTGGGTCGCGTTTCCAATCCGGTGGTAGATGCTGCGAAGCACGGCTCTTGCTAGGGTTCTTGTTAGCGACGTCGTCAGGTTTGAGCCCCGTGAGCTCAGCTACTAGTTAAGGCTACGCTGAAATAGCCTCTCAAGGCTCTCTGCTTAGGTAGGAAAGAAAAAAAAAAGATTTATTTTTGCATTAACTTATTGACAACAGGCTAGATATGCCTAAACCGCTGATTGCCCCTAGGAATTATGTTCAAAATTCGTTTAAATAAGGTCAATAATAGTAGTACCTAATAGTGCTTGGAAAGTAATAGTGTTTGAAAGATCTCTTGTATCTAGTAATATTGGTAACTTACATTACTCTTAAAAGAGTCCAAACATCAACGATCCGCGATAGCAATTAACAAAATAATTTTCCAGATTCTATTATGTTTTATTACTTTTTGCGGCTTTTTCTTTCATTTTTTCGTTGTGACATTATGTCAACCTTTACGTAGGATAAAATAGCTCTCTAATTGGCAACGCCCGAGTTCTATGGATCAAGTGCTGGTGGGAACGTAGCGACATTTATGTAGAGTGTTTAAGGAATCCTGTATATGTTTATGCATACATACATATATATATATATATATTTATTACGTAGTTGGTGAATGAGCTTATAGCTCGACCGGTGTAAAGTGCTTATGAGACTTCATAGACATCAAAATGTGTGTGTACGCCTGGATCGGCTCATGACAATGAAAATATGCACAATGATATAATATAATTTAGTATGTTCTTCGGTTTTTGCAAGTCATATTGTAGTAATTCATAATAATTTCGGGTAATAAAATACAAATGTTTTTCAATATATCCAATAAATGTAGCGTATTAACGTATAGTTTTTTAAGATACTTTATTGTATTTAAATTTTTACCAGGCCGCTTGGTTTTGAAAAGGTATCAGACAGCCTGACATAAACGCAGACTTGACTTCGCATTTCTAATAAAAATTGCACTGTGGATTGGCAAAGGAATGTGTTTTTTAATAAATAAAAATAAAAATATTTTTCAAACGTAACAAAGTTTAATTTAAGTATAAATAAATAACATAACTGCTTAAAATAATACTGTTCTGGCTCAAATTCTACACAATACTTCCAATATAATCACAGTTATTCGTAGTCGGCTATGGGTATACACATGCCCGAATTCCACTCCCACATATCTGGACAATTGCCTTGCGGGAAACCACCCCGGTTTTCTAATATTGTTGCTTCCGTTTTGGCTTTATGTTTCCGCACCTTGCGTCCTTTCAATCGATGATGAATTTTTGACACTGTCACTTTCTTAGATTGCTCGTCGATGTCGACTTTGACAGTTGAGATCGGGTGGCTGGCCGATTTAGTTCTGATTGATATCTCAACAGTAAGTCCTTCTGGTGGTAACGGGAACTCTTTAGTTTTAATGACTCTGCTTTCAGCGATGACGCACAAGACACACAAAACTAATACACACACGCTAAACGAAGACATTTTGGATTATTACGAAGACGTGTGTGTGTTACGGCAAAGCAACGCGACGAATGGTGTTTGCAATTTAAGCGCGTCGACCTTTATATGTTTCTCTAGGCAAATGAATCACAGTCTTACAAAATCCTAACTTAAAGTAGAAATTCCGAACGGCGCGGCTCTCGTCACTGCTTAAATGCGTTTGACAAAAAAATCTGCTATTTTAGTGGAGGTATCTTATTTACCTTAAGAAGTATGTAAATTGCAAATTCATTTCAGTTATTACAACAAAATAGCGCTACGCTGAAAATTAATGTATTAGATGCGTAAGCTGCTCAGATGTGTTTTTTTTTGAGATGATAAGTTGTTAAGGAAGGAAAATGTATTTTGAGAAATAATTAAGGAAATATTCGATTCAGTATTGTTAACAAGAGTGAATAAGTTCATAAATTTCATTAGATTCAAAAACATTGAAATAATCGAAGTAAATATACATCTATTATTTTAGCAGCGTACGGTTCAAAGCTTATTAGATTGTGAAGTCCGCAAATTACTTTGATTCATTGAGCTAAAAGTCAGTTGATTTGGAATACTTAGAAGATGTTGCATTTTTCAGATAGAATACCCTAAATTCTAGCACAAACAACCAACACCGTTTTACTAACTTGTTTTCGATTCAGCCACTAGTCTAATTATAGTATAAGAAATTCCGTTTAGTATTTTAGAGTGTGCTTTTTTTTATTTCGTGGATTAGGTAGATTGCGGATCACTGGTTCATTTGGGTTCATGTGATTACCGAAACCCAAAGATATTACAACACGTGTTGTCTTTGCACGACAATTAAGTTCTTAATATCTATGGGCTCCAGTAGCCACTTAACACCAGGCGGGCCGTGAGCTCGTCCACCCATTAAAGCAGCGAAAAAATACGTAATTTAAATATATTTGAAACGTCATACCAAAATCCTATTAAGTTTTAAGATTTTCCGGTACGATTCATACCGTCATGTTCAAACTTGTTTTTTGAACATTAGGGACATTTGTTATGTAAGTGCAAAAAATACGCTGGAAAAAAATCCATTTTTAAATGTTGAATTAAATTAAAATTGAAGCAGCGCTTATTTCTTTTATTCTTTATGGTGGAGACAAGGTCACAAAGTATTAAATGGTTAATGAAACTTGTAAAAACCATTAGTTTAACCCACTTTTTTTATTGCCATTGTAGGCAGACGAGCATACCTGAGGGTGAACGGTTACCGTCGCCCATGGACTTCAGCAATGCCAGGGGCAGAGCCAAGCCGCTGCCTACTATTAAGAACTGCTCATAAGCCTCGTTTGAAGAAAGACATGTCATAGCGCTCGGGAAAAACCGTAGAGGACAGCTCATTCCAAAGCCGAATGGTACGTGGCAAAAAAGATCTCTGGAAACGTACTGTNCATACGGCCCACCTGAGGGTGAACGGTTACCGTCGCCCATGGACTTCAGCAATGCCAGGGGCAGAGCCAAGCCGCTGCCTACTATTAAGAACTGCTCATAAGCCTCGTTTGAAGAAAGACATGTCATAGCGCTCGGGAAAAACCGTAGAGGACAGCTCATTCCAAAGCCGAATGGTACGTGGCAAAAAAGATCTCTGGAAACGTACTGTGAATGAACGCAGTGGCTCCAGATAGTATGAATGAACTCTACTCCGGTGGCGGGCGGTGTGATGGTAAAAATGAGATGATGGGATCATCTCAAACAATTCCTTAGAGCTTAGAGCACACTTCATCTGAAGATATGAGGACGAATTCTCAATTTCATGGGGATTTTTAGTATAAAAGATTTCCAATGATAATTGCGTTTATAACTAGAAGATAAAGGCCACGTAATCTAAACCTCTTTCAACTACTAGTGAACAACTACATAGTTCTTCCTCTACTAGCACTAAAGCTTCATATTTACTTGATGACAGCGTGTTACTATCGGGTCGTCGCGTCTCCTTATGGGGGCACTGGATGGGCCTCGGGGAAGCCCCTCTGTCTGGCCTCGTGATTCCCTGCCTATTGAGGCAGGGGTGATGCGCTGCAGGTTGGTGAGTGGCAGGCTTGATTTTTCTATGGGTGGGACCGACTTCTTTCTTCGTTTATTTCTTCTCTCTTGATCTCTTCTTCTTCTGTCTTCCTTCTTCTCTTCGTTCTTCAGGAGCGGCCGCTTCTCTCCTCCATTTTTTTGTGAGTCCATTCGGCTTTTATACTTATACAGGGTGTCCCGTAATGCTTAAGCTGTACGTGGCCACAGTATCAACAATGTAGATCACGTTAAAAATGTTATAAAAATAATCAAAGTCGTAATTAGTAGTTTCATATAAAACAATATTTGTTAATTATTAATTCAGTCATAATATGTACATCGGAGCGTAATCAGTTTTGATTCGTAATTTTAATATACTGAAATTTACAAGATATAATTGTATCGGTGTAATTACAGCTTGTAAATTTTATTGAAATAATATTAAATGTTCGGAATTCCGCATACGAGAACATCAAACGTCCTACGTACCATTTGACGTAATAACATTATGAATGAATAATCCTTACAGGATAATTTGTTACGCGGCGATCCCTTCGCTACTCTAGACAAAAACCCCGCAAATGGTCAACACCGGCTCATCTAGAGTAACACACATTATATAAGTAGGAGACGGTTTTAATGATATCACTTGTCTTGTTGCATTTTAACGAACAACATGTCGCCGATCAGTGTTTCTTTTGTTGCCATTTGCTTGGTACTCGTATCGGCAGTGGAGGGTCGCAGTTTGAGAACTGATTTTAAATCCAATAAAATATCAAACGACGCCATCTTCTTCGAAAGAACTTCAACGGCGACAACGAAGGCACCCATTTCAGTGGAAGTGGAGAATCGGTTTCTGACGTTGTCCGGCAATTGTCCCTCGGGACATGTTAGACGAGGAGGCTTCTGCTTCCCTGACGTGGACTACTAAATGTGAACCGACTGATTGGTTAAAATAATTTACGTTGTGCTGTTGTAAGATGTTATTTTGTGCTGTGATAGAAATTAATGAAGTTTTTATTCATTATTTTATTTGTAATTTTAATATAATAGTGTAAAATTCAATCAAGAGTAAAAAAATAGCAGACTATTTCTTGAGTTTTTGTTAAGAATTATTTAAATTGAAGATTTAATTTTTAGTTTATTCATGAATTAAATCCTGATTAATTTGAAGTTCTGTTATACTCTCATTTCAATGTTTTTTACATGTACATGAATATCTTTATTTTTGTAATAAAAAATGAAAAAACGTACTGTTTGATTTTCATTTCCAGAAGCTTTTTCATTCTTTTATATAAATTATTTTAATTACAGCAAAACTTACTTAGAGAAACTTCTTCCTTTAATTTTCCTTATATATGTTTACTATATTTTTCATCACATACTGATTGCAGGTAATATTAGTTTGCATGGATATATAGCCCTCTCACTATTTACACAGCGATTTATTTTTTATTGGTTAGACGTGCGGACAAATTCACGTCCCACTTGAGTGGTTACCAGACCTTCTAGACATCAACGACGTAAATGCCGCCCACCCACCTTGAGACATAAGCTCTAAGGTCTCAGTATAGTCACAACGGCTGCCCCACCCTTAAAACCGAAACGCATTACTGCTTCACGGTAGAAATAGGCGGGGCGGTGGTACCTACCCGTGCGGACTCACAAGAGGTCCTACCACCAGTAATTACGCAAATTATAATTTTGCGGGTTTGATTTTTATTGCACGATGTTATTCCTTCACCGTGGAAGTCAATCGTGAACATTTGTTTAAGTACGTATTTCATTAGAAAAATTGGTACCCGCCTGCGGGATTCTAACACCGGTGCATCGCTCGATACGAATGCACCGGACGTCTTATCCTTTAGGCCACGACGACTGCAAAATTTGCTGAATGCTTCACTTGAAAAATTGGTAGGGTGGTGGCACCTGTCAGGACAGGCCCAGAAACAACCAGTAAAAGTAGTAATGCTTTCTGGTTTGAAAGCTGTGATTACCGTAAAATTGAGACAGACCATTTAAGTGGGTGGAGGGGCTCACGCTGGATGAATCCCACCACTTACACCAGATGGCTCGTGGGATTGTTCACTATTGTACAATAAAGCAAGAGAATTATCTCTAGGCCTTCCTTGTCGTATGTTCGAGGGGAAAATGCATGCTTTGAGATACGGGTTTGAGTCTCAATTTGCATAACTACATAATATAGTATTGTACAATGGCTGCCTCATACTTCAAACTGGAACGCATGACTGGTCCGATTTATAATGTTTAAATCTTCACAGAATTCGTCATTTTATTTTGTGTGGTCACATTTATATATTATTGTTTGAATTTTGATGTTCTTTAAGATTGATATTTGCTTAACATGGAGGTTTTCAACTGTTTTCGTAAATAAATATATGTATTTATATAAATTAACAATAGCCACGCTGATCATACTATGTAGCATGTAATACCGACTGCCATCAGTGACTGTATGTTCTTTATTCCTCCTTGCATCGATAATCCTCAATGCTGAGGATCGTGGCCTCATGAGGCTTTCTTGGGAAAATACACATGGTGGGGTCCGGAGTCCTTCCACAGCAGTGCTTTTGGAAGAGATTTAGTTCTTCGAGGCCGCTGAAGCCTTATTTGGGTCCGGCTGATTAACCGCCACCAGATATTCGGCGTTGACTGTTTCACGGTGGAAAGGTCGAGCTCCAACTCAATTTGTTTATTAGGTGGATCTTAATTTTTTTTTTTTATTTTTTTTTATTTTTTTTTATTTTTTTTTATTGCTTAGATGAGTGGACGAGCTCACAGCCCACCTGGTGTTAAGTGGTTACTGGAGCCCATAGACATCTACAACGTAAATGCGCCACCCATCTTGAAATATAAGTTCTAAGGTCTCAATTATAGTTGCTGTTGGAATGCAAGTTAATGTTTTGTCACATTGAGGGCTTACGAATATTTCTTCACTAACATTACGAATGTTTCATGTAATATTGCGTGACAGTAACATACAATTTTATTGGTGAAGTAGTAGTATAAATAAAAATTAAATAAAAATAAGTATTACAAAGTTCCGCATTTTTTTTTACTTACGTGCTAATCTAAATTACTTATAGTATTTTTATTACTGGATTGCGGATATGACACATTTCACATGCAGAAATTTTAAAATCTTGTCAAAAATAGCGGGTATTTTAGTATTATGTAAATTTGTTTTGCAAGGAAAAAATAAAACCAAATTTAATATTTATCAAAAGTGACATAATTTAATTTAGTGTAAATAAATAAAACCATATTTTCTTAATAATACTGTTCTGTCTCACAACTCGTCAACACTGGCCCTTAAATAACAGCTAGTCGTAGTCGGCTATAGGTAGACACATATCAGACTTCCACTCCCACATATCTGGACAATTGCCTTGCGGGAAACCGCCACGATTTTCTAAAATGCTTGTTTCCGTTGTAGTTTTGTGTTTGCGCCCTTTGTGTCTTTTCAAATGATTACGAACGTTGGACACGATCACTCTCTTGGACTGCTGGTCGATGTCAATTTTCACTGATGAGAACGGATGACTTGCTGACTTACTGCTAACAGAGATCTCGACAGAGAGCCCTTCAGGTGGTAACGGGAACTCCTTCGTTCTAGTAACTCTGCTTTCTGCGATGACAGACAAGACACACAGAACTAATAAACCAGTGTAAAATGAAGCCATCTTTTTAGTATAGGGAAGACGCGTGTGCCACTGACGGTAAATGCTACGAGTAATGTTTGAAACCACGCGACGGCCTTTTATATGTATATGTATGTTATTTATTTCGTTCGACAGTGAATCATAGCGTTACAAAACACTATGCCTTCAAGTATTACAAGAAATTCAGGGTGTCTCGGATCTAAAAAAATTGCCATATATGTGTATGTAGTATAAGATCGCAATACCAAATTATTTATATATATATATATTTATACCGCAAATTAATTAAAAATAGATGGGTGTACCACTATGTTTAACATTCATTTACGTTTGAGTAAAGATAGAGAGACAGAGAGAATACACTTTTTTGCACACCAGAACACAATTAACATTAAAAAACACTCAACAAGCAGGTACATTTGTACAATAGACGGTCTTGTTGCTAAAAGCGATCTTTTCCAGACCGTTTAATTTACAGAAATTCTGGAAAAGATAAAGATATAGCAGGTACGTTGCGGTGCACTATTGGCAATACATTATTAAAGAAAATATATACATACAATAAATATATATATACCGTTTTTATATATAACATGCAATAACTATTTGATTTATATACCAATATAAATACTTACATACACATAATAAATCTACAGTATGGAAATGATAAAGCATATATGTACAAACAAACAACACTAAGCAGATAAGTAATGTTCCTTCGCCATTTTTTTAAAGCAGCTTAAAGTTGGAGCACTTCTCACTGCATCCGGCAGAGCATTCCACAATCGAACCGCCTGGGTGGTGAATGAATTATCAAAGAATGTTGATGAAAGATATTATTTTACAAAACTCGATCACTGACTATTTTAACATTACAACAAGTTTTAACATTGGCGAAATATTAGGAAATCACTTATTTTCATGAATCGACCATGCTCAAATTGCGTTGGGCTATCAATATATAGACATAGCTTTGAAGAGGAAATCTTCCATCAAATGTTTGTCTGTGTATGGTGGACCGACATTTTTTTTTGAAGGTAGGATTTCTGGTGAACTGGAGTCCTTTCCACTTTCACCAGGACAGGTGGGTAAGCACGGGCTCAGAAGACCGACCAGATAGATGAGTGTTGATCGAAATCTAGACATAGACAAGCTTAACTTGATATTGTCGTTGCCACAATGAATAGATTTTTTCGGACTCTCGTATTCTTGTTTATCTTATCTTATACCTTTAAGCGAGCAATTCTTGTATATAATATTATATAATCTGAATCTCGGAAACGGCTCCAACGATTTTCATAAAATTTAGTATACAGGGGATTTCGGGGGCGATAAATCGATCTAGCTACGATTTATTTTCAGAAACTTTTGTTTTATTCGTGTTTTCAATAATCAACTCTTCCCGACATCTATTGGCGAATAATAATACTATTTTTCTTAATTGAGGGCAACTAACCGCTTTAAAGACACAACAAGATGGCGTTATAAAAAAAAACCGAGCAAAGCTCTGTCATCATCTAGTTATTGCTTAAATAGGTGAAAGAGCACACGGCCCACCTGTTGTTAGGGGTTTATCGGAACCAATAGTATAAGTAAGTTGTAATAATATAAGTAAGTTATCAGCAAAGTAAATTCAAACCCGCAGTAAGCAGAAACGCATTACTCTTCGAAGTAGAAATAGGTAGAGTGGTGGTATCTATCAAGCTCACAAGATGTCTTACTACCAGTGAACTTGAAATTATTTTATGCTAGATACCAGTGCGAAAGTAGTACATATGAAATTGTCAAATGTATTACAAAATAAACGCAAGCCTTAATCGTTTGAATACTATTTGAATTCAAGTCTAAAACTCGCAAAAACGTGAGCAGTTTAAGTGTTTAACCTCCAAAATATATTTACTCATGGCGGAAATACCTACGCTCTTTTTCAGTGCCTTTTAAATGCTATATAAATGTGACAGCGCCGTCAATGTTCTTTTATATGATAGTTAATTAATTGAAGCGATTCACTTTCATAAATTATCTTTTTCATTTAGGCTCTTAATAATATACACTGATCAAATAACGAAGTTCACATTTATGTAAGCTTAGCTATTAAATTAAGATCGTATTCAGGTCATCGTGAGCGAACGGCAAAGAGCAGAAGCCTTTAAAATATTTCATTATGTAAAACTACGCGTAATTTACAGTAAGTTGATCCTAATGACATTGACACCGTATTCGCGCGATATAACATTGAAGTTAAAAAAATATTGGATTACTAGCTGACCCGGCAGTCTTCGTAATGCCTCAATGGATAAATAAAAGACCTAAGTTTTTGTATAAAGTAAACTTAAAACAAACAAAAGGAATCCGTCCGACGGAGGAGCGGAGGACACATCAAAGGAAAAACAAAATTGTTATTTTTATTTAATTCCGAGCATTTTCATATTTATCTACCTTTTAAACCTTCTCTGGACTTCCACAAATGATTCAAGACCAAAATTAGCCAAATCGGTCCAGCCGTTCTCGAGTTTTAGCGAGACTAACGAACAGCAATTCATTTTTATATATATAGATAGATAGAAGATATTGTAAACATTTCTTTAATAAGTAGTAGAGCGTAATTTGAGCCCATATGGGTATTTATGACCATCCTGCCTATGTGTGCCTCAAAGCGTGCATAGTTCCCATTTTCAACTTAATGTTCAATGGTGCCCAGTCTATTTTAGACAAAAATATAATAGTAAAAAATTTCACTGTTGAATGAAATGTAAGTTAAATGTAAGTAAAAGTAACAATATTCAGTCAATATTATGTTCACTCTTTACAAACTTTTGAAACAGACAAAATACGTTAAGAAATACCGATGTATATTGAACATTATGGAGATGGTTAAATGTGTTCTGCTTGGAGGTAAAAATTAAAATTAAAATATTTGTGTTTTCAACGTTTTATTATTATTATTAATAAAAACTTTGTACAGGTAATACAATAAGTAAAAATATAAATATCCACAATGAAAAAAATTCTTAAAAATATCACAATAAAAAAAATTAACATACATTAATTGAAAGCTTCAATTTCTTATCTTTATAAATTTCATATATTTACAAAAAACTGATTGATATTCATATGTATATCTTTTGCTCGTTCTTCGCAATATCAAATACGGAAACAAATTTAAAAGAAAATATCTAAATTAAACCACAGCACATAGTACACATCTTACAACAAATCAGTCGGTTGACATTTCAGTAGTCCACGTCAGGGAAACAGAAGCCTCCTCGTCTAACATGTCCCGAGGGACAATTGCCGGACAATGTCAGAAACCGATCCTCCAATTCCACTGAAACGGGTGCCTTAGTTGTCGCCGTTGAAGTTCTTTCGAGGACAATGGTGTCGTTTGATGTTTTATTGGATGCCCAACCAGTTCTCAAACTGTGACCCTCCACTGCCGATACCAGTGCCAAGCAAATGGCAACAAAAGAAACACTGATTGGCGACATGTTGTTCGTTAAAATGTAACAAGACAAATGATATTAATATAATGTCATTGGCCGTTTATATAATGTTTCTTGCTTGAGGTGAACTTTGCGGGGGTTTTTCTAGAATATCAGAGAATTAATTATTCATATATTCCTGCGTCAAATGGCACGTGTGATGCTTTCGTATGCAAATATTAAAACATTTCATTTAAATTTTATTTACAAGTTTTATGTATTGGTGTCACTTGGTTTACAAATATACATAAACAATTGAGGGCTCGGGATGGAAGTCATTTGAATGTAGACACTACTTTGCTCGTTCACTATACTCTTAGTCCTTTTCTTGTTGGATATGAGTTTTTCAATCGCATTCTTATACTATCATTTTATGTCAAATCAAACCCGCAAAATTATAATTTGCGTAATCACTGGTGGTAGGACCTCTTGGGAGTCCGCCCGGGTAGTTACCACCACCCTGCCTATTTCAGCCGTGAAGCAGTAATGCGTTTCGGTTTGAAGGGTGGGGCAGCCGTTGTTACTATACTTGAGATCTTAGAACTTATATCTCATACTGGATGGTGCATTGACGTTGTAGATGTCTATAGGCTCCAGTAACCACTTAACACCAGGTGGACTGTGAGCTCGACCATCCATCTAAGCAATAATAATAAAAACTTGATTTCGAATTCGTTTTTTAATTCGTCATTTTTCCCGAATTGCTGGCTAGGGTATCCCGGAATACCAGCGGCATCGCCTGGACGGGCAGTCTCACATACCCCGCGTACCCCCTTAGGCGCGGACACCTATGAGATTCGGTCTTCTGCCCGAAAAAAAGGAGAGAATTGTATGTGAGTGTGGCTACCATTCCCCGCGGGTACACTTGCTATTTCTGACGAGAAACAGTAATGAGATGTGGGAAAGTCGCTATAGTGTTCAACCTGTAACGCGGCGCCATCAAAGCGGGCTCTCGGCCCGCTGAACGAGGGAACCGGTGGTCGTGTCGCTGGCGGCCACCGGTCCGGCGTCCGTGGGACGGTGGGATGGATGTAATGTGCTCTGCGTCAACCCTGTCCCGCCGTTTCAATAGCCTCGACTGGGCTCCGGCCCGGTCCGAGGTAGGGCGCCGGTTGTGAGCGGCAGGAGTTTTTAGTGAGGTTCAACTCCCACATACCCCACCTGCCGCGCGGGTGGGGATCCGGCGATTTTCTCCTGTGGAAAAAAAAAAAAAAAAAAATAGTGTTCAACCGAGATTTCGACATCATATCTCAAGGTGGGTAGCGTGATTCACGATGTCATATCTACGCTTTCCGCTAGGTACTAAACATTACAAACGCGAACTTTTCCACCCGTCAACACAAAATTTACCTAATGTTAAAGACACGGCATTAAATCCTTATCCTAACAAGAGTTCGATGAGGGCACTTATTCATAGACACAGCCCACTGAGTTTGTCGCCAGTGGTAGATTCTGTGAAGCCCTGCTCTTGCAAGTGTTGGCAAATTCTCCCAGGTTGAGCCTGTGAGCTCACCTACCGGCTTGGGCATAGCTGGAATCGCCTCTTAGG